GAAAACTGTTTATACTATTCTTATCTATCTCCTTTGTTTTCTCTCTCTCTCTCTCACTCTCTCACTCTCTCTCTCTCTCTCTCTCTCTCGCTCTCTCTCTCTCTCTCTCTCACTCTCTCTCACTCCTCTCTCACTCTCTCTCTCTCTCTCTCTTCCATCTCTCTCACTCTCTCTCACTCTCTCTCTCTCTCTCTCTCTCTACCTCTCTACCTCTCTCTCTACCTCTCTCTCTACCTCTCTCTCTACCTCTCTCTCTACCTCTCTCTCTTTCACTTTCTCTATGTCTCTCTCTCTCTATTTCTCTCTCTCTTTCTTTTTCTTCTCTCTCTCTCTCTCTGTTTCTCTCTGTTTCGTCTCTCTCTGTTTCTAGCCCTCTCTCTGTTTATCTCTACCCAATCCATTCAGTTTACTAGGGAAACTAAGAAATTCGAGTTAAAACAGCCTATCTGCATTCGATAATGCAAATATTTTGGGTTCGAACTCAAGAATTAAAGTTTATATATCTCAAAGGGTATTTTGTCGAAAATAATTTTAATTCAAAACAAAAATTTAACTGCTTTTATTTATCACTGATTTAGCAAATAACCCACTCATATATTACATAGAGTAAAGACGCACATAGAGTAAAGACATATTTATTACGACTTCATGATTATTCATACTGTACTTATGGACAACTGTTTTTTTTTCTTTTGTACTCAAGTATTTTTTTTTTTTCAAAAAGTAATGAATATAAAGAGTGTACTAAAAACTGTCACAGTCAATAGCTAACATTGGCCGTGGAAAGAAAGTTATGCAACTTATTATTTTATTGATTTTTTTTTCTATTTTTTTGTGTATTATTCATTGGCTGATATTTCAAAATTATTTCAATTTCAATTTATGCATTTTTTTCACTTTAATTGGCTACGCTTTTTCCAACTGTGACAAAAGCGGCTTAACTTAAATGAGCACTTGGAAGGCACTTTTTGGGTAGGCGCTACGACAATAGCAGTAAATGATCTTTTGTGTCGTTTAAAGTAAAGTAATCATTTTTTTCAATTTGTCGGTATTTTTTTTTTTTGGATATGGGCAAGTAGTTTTGTCTGTGCTCGATTAGGTGCAAGTTTTGAGTTCAGCACTTTTGGTTTAAATGTGGGAAAGTTTAAATGAACTTTGTCGTCGTTGTCGTCGTCGTCGTGTTGCTCCTATGCTCAACATGCAATGAACGTGGTGCTGGAAAAGAGTAAGGCGCCGCATTTAACTAAGCAAATATTGTTAGACCTCATTGACCCTATCTCGGTGTGGATTGCTAGAAGCTAGCTAAGAATATATCTGTTATGTGCTGTAACCAAACTATGTTATTGAAGTTCTTCCTTAAATAGCTGTGGTGGCTTTGGTGGTGACAATAATTTTTTTACAAGTCATTTTTATATACAATTTGAGTGCAATAAAAGTAAATCTAAGTATCTTTTGTGTAAGAGCACAAAAACAAGAATAAAGAATAAAGAGTAAAGAAGTTATTTTTGTGCAAAAACTTTTAATACAAAGTAAAATTGAAGTTTGGGTAATAAAAAAAGTGAAGATGACTACAAATTTTAATAGCTTTTTTCGCTGAGTCATTCTCGTTTCTTATGTGTTCGCATTCGTTTGGTTTTTTGTGATAAAAGATAAAAATGTGAGTAAAAAAGAGCAAACATTTCACAAGTTAGCCTCCAAAGATGCTATTTTTTAATGCAGCAAATAAAATAATCACATAATATTTAATAAAATAACTAAGAGTGCAACAATGGTTGCTAAAGCGGATGCTAATGGCAAAGTAAAAGTGCACACTAATGTCCTCGCTGGGAGCACAAAAAACCTTTTAAGCGGCACACAGCGAAGTTTAGGAGGTTGACACTCGCGTTCTGCGACTGCTAAGCTTTTTATGTGCATGACAATGAAATCCACACACTTTCTCATATGCACTACTCTCTTCACGTGTGTGTGTGAGTGCGATTGTAGTGGTGTGCACATTTTGGCACATTTTTTCGCCTTCGCTTAAAAGTTACGAAACGCAAAGTTGGAAATGTGCATTGTTACGCGGCGATTACGTATACGCCGTGTGTGCCTGTGTGCATTTCGAGGTTTCTTGGTCAGCGGATAATGTGACATTTTTATGTGGAAAATTTTTAATTTTTAAAATGTGCATTAGTGCAAAATATGGTTTAATTGTTTTCATTTTATCATACAATAAATGTGTTTTTCTTTTTTTCAACCGCCCTAAAAACTCCCCTCGTCCGGACAATAACCAAGCTGTGTGTGTTTATGCGATAATGCGAGCACAATCCTCTGCAAAATGAGAAAAATAAATATTTATGAAGGAATAAAAGAAAAAGGATTATATGAAAAACAATAATTCTATTTTTAGGAAATATTTTAATAAATTAAATTTTTCATTACTTTTCCAAAAGTAAAGTTTTTCGTCGTATTCCTCTTTGGGAAAATTGGTTGAATTTTTGATCAAACTTAATTTCATCAGAAGTACTCATTGGATGAAAATACCACAATATGTTTTTTAATTAGAGGTTAAGTTAGGTTATATCTTGGACTCCACAGTTTAAAAACCATCTTGAATCTTGGCAAAGTCTAAAATGTTATTTAAGGGAGAGAGATTTGGCAATAATCGCCAAAAAAGGAATTCTTGTGGCACCGCATAGCCGCTGGGCAATAACAAAGCAGATATGACTCACTTTCATTATTCTCCACACATTTAAGACAGCAATTATTATTATTATTAAAGAGTAGACGTGAAAATTACCCAACAGCCGGTACTGCGGTCAGAAGAGTTCTATTGTACCAGTAAGACAGCAATAATTAAGCGAAGGATTTAATCTTCTAGTACAGGCTGTCTAGTACACAATTTCATCAATTTTTCTTTGATATATTCTGGTAAACTTGCATTATTTTATTTTTATAGAATCCCCAAAAATTAAATTTAAATGAATAAATAAAATAAAATTTAACATTATCACAATATTTGTATTTTTCTCCAATTTGCACAGTCACTTGTATTGGCTCGCGATCGTATCTGGTCTGACTAACACTGTTCTAGAATATTGTTGTGGTTTTTGTAGCACACTGGAACCTGAAAGCAGATAACATGAAAGGTTTTACAAGACGAATACATGGGTTATAATTTAAGAAATGGTTGAAAGTTGTGGGAAGGGAAAAACTAGAGAAGAGTAGGATTGCGGATAGGTGGAATTTAAGTTGAAATCAACCTGGATGCAGACGGACCAACCTGGCCGAACTTCAATGTGGTGCTTTCAAAAGTTGCTCCAAATGCCTCTAGAATGGTTCTCGAATTGGGTGTGACTCATACAAAAATCTATCACATGACGTGTCAGCGCGCTGAATTTTTTCTCAACCCAACGCGACAACTTATATACAGTTTTCTCATATAAATCCAAGAAATGTTTCCATGATACTAATGATATGCTCAGATTTTTTAGGTGTTTTGAGTGATTACCTGAAACACTTCATCCGGTCCCACTCGCTCGCCTTACAGTTGCTAATAATATTTCTATGAACTGGAACCCAGAATAGAGCAATGTTGAATTGCGTCGATATATCATTTAGAGTTGTGAAGCAGTCAAAACCTGTACTGGAAGTAAATTGGACTGAACTCAGAGGCAACACTACTGCTTTTACCACTACTAATTTTTGAACCATGGTAAGACCCCTAATTAATGACAGATCTTCTGACAGTCAGGTGTCTCCAAATGGAAACTTGATAACACATTTCTTGTTGAAATGAAAATTGAGAGTGAGAATTTTTGCTTACATGGTTAGACCCCTTACTAATGACAGATCTTCAGACAGTCAAGTGTCTCCAAATGGAAATTTGATATCAAATTTCTTGTTGAAATGGAAATTGAGAGTGGGAATTTTTCTTACTCTCAATCTCTCTCGCCCACGATATACCGTGTTGACTAACACATGATATGAGAATATGTCAAAGGCAGTCTAGCATACTGTAATGTCATACAATGCCTTGGAATCCACGTCACTACTGATATCACGTCGTGCTATACTACGTCGTTGACATAGTTAAGGGCATACAAATTTAGCTGTTTCGCTGGCTTGGTCATGTTGACCAAATGAGAGAAAATGCCTCGACAAGAAAGGTATTTGATTTGACATGATTTGATGTAGAAAATGCGGTGTATGATGTCAGCATTATCGGTGAAAAAACTAGGTAACCAACGATATGAAGGCCCTCTGTATCAACTGGTGACAGCAAAGCATTGATCCGGCGAGCTGATCGAAGCTACTGGGTGTGGCCAAGATCGACTCACGCTTATGATGGCTAACTTAGTAAGTATATTTCCTATCGTCTTCCTCTTACACAACATTTCATCTTTGCTATTGTTATACAAATCATATACATATATCACGGTTTCGAAGTTTATTTTATTTTGCACTTTCATATAGTTCTTTTGTGAAGTTTCATAAAAAATTTTCTTAAAACATTTTCTTAAGAAATGCAAAAGTTTTATATTCTGTTGTGCAACAACAGTGCAACAACACTGTTACACTGTTGTTTTTTCTTAATCCTAAAAAAAACAGTTTCTGCAGCTTGGATGTTTAAATAAACTTACAATACCATCTCTTAAAAAGTCTATGATCTCGTATTGAAAATACTACTGCTTTCATTCTTTCCTAGTGGAGCATAGGGTCTCAAAAATGCTACAGTTCACACTAATAACTTTTCAGAATGTTGTTCTGAAAACCCAGTTGCTCCTTGCATTAAATAACACTTATGGGCATCCAACAGAAGACGAGGAAGTACTATTTGTGAAATATTTGTAAAAGTGTTCGACACAAGTACAATATATCACCTTCAATTAAACTTCAAACTTTGATTATTTTCGTTAATCAAAATTTTGAAATATTTCAAGATTTAAAATTAATTGATTAATTTTAATTTATAATAATTTCACATTGTGTTATATGTCAACTTGGTACTATTACTCAATTTTTATAAATTTTTCTTGTGCTTAAATTCACACAAATTTTTTGTGTGGAGTACTGAAATATCCAGACAAAAATATACATATTTCCCTTTTTTCATTGGCAAATCCCGCCATTTACTACTGCGTAACAGTGTTTTAACCATTTAGGCAATTGCGCTTGAAAAAGATTTAATATAATTGTTGAATTAAAGTTAAGTTGTTGAAAGTTAAGAAGCCATTATGCATAACACACAGGTTTGTTTACAATTATTGAGATTAAATATGTTAAAGGACTAACATTACTTTATCCTTAAGATATCTGCAAGCATAAAGAAGCGTCGCTCGTGTGTACAGGTAGCCTACGAAGAAAGTGTCAACATACTTCGTTGGATGGGTCAATCGGATGATATGGATACACCAAAAGAAACGCGTTCTGGTACAAACAGATCCTTTTCGCCATATAAGAAACGTAAATACATTAAGCGTAATAAGAATAAAACTGAAATGGTGGATTACCCTATATTGAATGGAAATAGCGAGCTTTTAGTTATAATTGTTCCTGATTGTGATGGTATTATCCATGGCTTGAAGTTGTCAGATATGTATGTTGATGATAACTTTATTAAGCAATTGGATAAAATAGATACAGAAAACAACTCTGAAGACTTTCTCAGCTATGTTGTTTTCGACTTTGACGCTAAATGATAGCCTGAGTAAATCTTATAAATAATTTAAAATTAAAATAAAAATGGATTATTTTATGATAAGTAAAATAATTAGAAAACCAGCATGATTTATACACGAATTAGCTTTATTTATTTACACGTAATTGAGTTGATTATGGCCATATATAGCCAAAAAAGAAATGGACTGACCAACGTCAAGCAAGATATTGTTTAGATTTGTAGATTTTTCATTTAAAATGGTTCTTTTTTTCTCTTAAGCTATTACGATATCTATACTTATACATCTCTCTATATCTCTTCCTTTATTCTACCTATTTTTGGACAACATAAGTTTGTTTGTGAATTATTGTGGAATAGTGCATTTTATTATCCTGCCTCTACATTGTCTATACTTTGACAAGATTTTCACACTTTCACTAACGAATTGAAATTAAATAATTCTTAATAAAGAAAATAAATATCTTGCGAAGTCTAGCTAGCATAGATGCCCGATTGTTGAAATTTGGTATATAAAAAATGTCAAAAACAGTGTCAAAAAATTATGCCTAATGTGCACTGCGATAAATGAAGGTAGGTTGAAGTGCCGACTTTGTGCACCAAAGCCGACTTTTTTTATAAATTTTTATAATTATTGTCTATTAAGTAACAAATATTAGATGAAGTCTTACAATTTAAGTATTGCTCCATATTGAGTAGTCTTTTTATACTCAAAATTTAACTGTCAAATTATTTTGACAAAAAGAGGTGCCATTTACTGTACAGTCAATTGTTTCGTATAAGTTTTACGAGATACGATTTAATATCGTAAATTATGGCAGTAGTATATCACATCTGTCTGTATTATCCTATATACCGCAATGGTTATATGTACTGCATATCGTACCGTAGCATTACACGATTGTTTAGGTATACCTTTAATAATGCATTTGTAGTTCTAAACTTTAGAGACTATATACACTATGAGTGAATTGATGGATAATTATGCTACTCAATTATCAAGTAAAAAGCTTATACTACACATCAGATTTGGTCGTACAATTTGTGCGACGTCGCTTGCTCATACACATACGATACAGTCGACTTTATTTGGAACACGCCCCCATCGGAAAAAACAACAGATATAGACTCTTAAAGTAGACTGAAATTTTGTATGTAAGCCGACTTACATTCTACCGATTGTATACGAAAAAGCACGAGCAATTTTGACGAAAAATCAAAATATTTTGATTTCCATCCTTGTCGTTAGACCTGTAAATATTGCTATTACACATCAGACTTGACACAAATTTCGCATTGCAACTCACAAGTTGTACGTTCAAGTCTGATGTGTAATACCCACTTTACAGATCTCTTTCACTCGTAACAGTGAATACCTTTAATAATAAAATCTAGTTTTTAAATCGTACAAAAAAAAAAACATATCTGTGTAATTATACTATTCAGTTAATATCATATATTGTTATATTTTATTTATTTAAATTATTTTTTAATATTTTTATATTTAGACATCTTCGGCAAATATTCCAATAGTCGTTTTACCATCTTACATATGATTTATGTTAAATTACATTTAAACTGACAATATTATATATTGTATATATAATTAATAATGTCAGTTATTATTAAAAATTAATTAACTTTTATACCGAAATTAATCCAAATAATATTTTTGCATGAAATCTATATGAATAAATTTAATTCTTCGTTTAATAACTAAATAAATTGTGAATATAATTTAACATAAAATGGCAAACGTTAATAAATTTTTTTTATTAATCTCTGAAGTGATTTAATTAATGGCCACAGCTCGTAGTTAAGTTTTTTAATCCAAAAACCTTAATCGCATTGCAAGAATTTATTGCTTTTGCTATTAATTATGATTTTATGTGTGTTATAAATTTTATTAATTTTTTACTAATTACATAAAGTAAGTCTAATGATTTATTAGTTTTGTTCGAAACTGAAACTGTTTTGGTGCACGTAATAAATTTCATGATTGATGATGTGATTTCAGCAGCACAAGTACGACATCATGCAAGTTTACTGAACTAAATTGTAGTACATACTTGCTCCATTAAATGATTATTAATATAAAGCAACAACAATTTGTCTTGCACTACTTGTATCTCAGATACAATTTTTGATTTTTTTTTCTATCTGAACTTAATTCACGTGTAATGGAATTAAATCGAAAACTGTATGGCAAATTATGGCACATGTGTTTCCGCATTATATATGCGTAAGGATTAAATTTAGTTGCTCTAATTTAAATTTAGTTTTAATATATTTATTTTTAAGATGTTCGAAATCGTTTCGAGATACGTTTCCGCTTAAAGCTATTTATTAGTTAACGGTACAGATTTCTACGTATTAAGTATTAAGCGATTAAATGCACCTAACGAACATTTTGCATGTGAAAGAAATGACGGCTGCGTGAAAAGTGCTGAAGAAATCTCCTCAATGTCATTTATTAGAGTAGTTTTGTCAGATATTAAAAAATATTAATGAATTATTAATCCAGTCGAGGTGTAAAGAAGGATTTTGAAGATACCTCGAGTTAATAGGGAGCAAAAGTGCTCAAGTGCACTGGCTCAAATAGCTCCAACATAATAAAGCATGTATGTATGTTCAAACTAATATTGACTTTTTATAATAAATTTAGAAAGGTCTATTCTTTGAAATTGGTGTCTAATGAAACGTCTTATTTTATTATCGGAAATAGATATGTAGATAGGAATATAGAGCTGGTTGGTAGAGTTCAAACATACATTTGATACATCCAAAGCGATATCAAATAATAGTTTTTAAAGCAGTTAATGAAGGTACACATAATAAATGATGTTATAAAAGTTAATATTGGGAACAAAGTTATGCTGTTAAAAATTATAGCTTGAAAGACTTTAAATCGAGTTTTGTGAAAGCCATATAGAAAGAGGGTAGAGATTCTAAAGTTTTTCTAACACTCGGTTTCTAACACTATTGGTAAAATTATTGCGACGATCTTTATATGTTAAATGAATAACGGTTTTGTTATGTACAGTGAAATCCGAGGCTATCTATGCATTATCACAAAGCAGTGTTGAATGTGTGTATCCATATATTTCCATTAAAATTTAGGCACAACCAAAAAGTACAAAATATTAAAGTAATAATAGTAAAAATTAGAAATCTGCAAACTGATATGAAACTCTGCATAACATGCAATTTCGTCATAGCCCGAAAGAGACAAATTTGACGGGCCCGTGACAATTTACATAATATGGGCCTAAGACTTCAACGCGGAATACTCGCTTAGTATTACACATCAGAATTGGTCCTACAACTTGTGAGTTAAAATGCAAAATTTGTGCCCAGTCTATTTATTTTTATTTTATTTTAAGGGATGGAAACGATTGCGTTTTAATTTTTTGACATAAACAAAGACAAGTGTTTGGTGATCGGATTAAACTTGTGTTGTTTGTGTTTTATATTGTTTTGCATCATGCATACCCTGCTATAACTACTCACTTCTTCTGTGTTTTCCCGTTTACATTTTCTACCGATATTGCCTCTACTAGCATTAATGCTGCTTTAGTGTGCATTGAACATAAACTTATTATTCGCGGTCCTTTAATATCTTAAACGTAAGTTCTGAATCATTAGGGATTCTTTACTAAATGTGTACTCAACTTTTTTAAATAAGTCAATAAAAAAATATATTTTTAATAAAAAAGTTTTATATATCGTAATCGTGGTAACACATCAAACCATTATTTACAATTAAGTGATTGTTGATACATAGGTACAGCAGTTACTCCAACTTAATCTAGCCTTATGACCTCCGATATAACTGGAATTATGCAAAGCAATGGTTCATACAATACTAGAATAAGTTTTTTTTTTGCAGAGTTTTTTGTAATTCACTAAATTTTCATAATATGAATTATGTTATATTGTCAAGGGAAGGATCTATTCCTTAGTCATGACTAGAAGTATTAGTGAGAAAATTTTCGAATCCAAAAAAACTTATTCATTGAATTATTATTATTGTTAGGGGATGTGGCATTGCAACCGTCGGGTCTATTGTGCCCTTCTGGGCTTTGAGCCCTGTTGCGTCAATAAAAAGTAGTATATGTTAGAACGTAATTTACAGAGTTTTATTGCCTCTTCCGTAAGAATATAAATTCCTAGGAGCCTATTTCGTATGTGCATTAACGCAGGTAATTCTAACAGCACATGTGTGGCCGACTCTTCATTCTCTTCACAGAATCTACAGTTTGCATCCGTAAGTATAGCAGGTTTTGTGAGGTGGTGTTTTAGTCTATAGTGTCCTGTTAGGATTCCTGTGATGATTCTAAGTTTTTCTTTTGAATTCATTTATAATATTAATAATATTAAGAGATTAATATATCAATTAAAATATTTAAAAAATCTAATTGTTTATCAATACTAAAAACAAACTCATTTGCAAAAGTATGCCATGGTGGCTTTAACTTTAATTACATATTCTTGAAGTACAATAATATTTCGTAATAATTTAAGTTACTCAGTTTATTTCTAAAAAAATTTAATTTTTTTTGAAATATTAATTACAAATCGTATAAAGTTCTAAAATATTTAAAAACTTCTATGAATTTAAGCTTTTAATATTGCATTGCCTTAGTTTTTTGGCTTTAATGTAATTTTTTCCCTCATTTTGCATTATGCAAAATTTTGAAAATTGCTTAATCATTTTGAAGATTATTTAAAAATGAGTTTATTTATTTGTGTTTATTTGAAGTGTTTGACAAATTTTGCAATATTTTTGTTTATTTTATTACTTTGTTAACAAATTTATTAATTATGCTTAAATATTGTGGATGCGAGTTTGCGCAATTCGCCATTGAAGCCGCTGGGTTTGTTTGCTAATTTGAGATTTTCTTGTTAAAAATTATTTTTAGTTTTATTTAAAGATTTATTTTTAAAGCCCGTGTTGGCGTGAAGAAAAAACATAACTTTTTCTATATATGCGTTTTATTTTATAATTTAATTTTTTTTTCCATTACTCAATTGTAAC